GAGCGGTAATTATAATTTTATTTCAAAGTTAGAGTAAAACCACTTCTACATTTTTTTTAAAATTTCTTCACAGTATTTTCCCCAAAGTAACTGAACCAATTAATTAATCAGACATCAGCAACTCACCTCTGTCATCCTTTGTTTTGCCTCCCTTTAGTTCTAATGTTATACATTTTTTTTTATTTATTGGTTTTTATATTTGAGATTTTAAAAACTTTTAAATTAGATGAGAGCCAAAAAGAGACTTCTGTTAAAACGACCTTTCAGTCACTCCATTTTTCTTTCTAAACAAAAAAACCCATTTGGTGTTAATGAGTTACATTTTAAGATTTTAAAGAGTTTCAAGTTTGTTTGGCTAAACTTCAAATTATATGTGTTTGAGATGAATATTGGCATCTTTGGGCCTCCGTACAGGAATTCCACTCTGTGTGTTTTCCAGACAAACACCTCTGTTTCATTTTGCACAGTCCGAATGGGTAGAAGATCATCTTTTTGTCACGTCTACCTCATTTGCACTGAAAGGAGACGAATGTTCAGGTGGACTAAAGAGGAAAAACAAACATTTCTTGGCTTTTTTTCATTTTCCTTCACTTTGTGCAAATGTTGACGGGACAATGAGTGCAAGCAGGAAGGGACAAACTTAACGTCACGCTCAGTGGAAAGCTGTCTGCAGGACATGCTGGACTTAAAAAACACGAGACGCTGTGCTGAGGAAGATGATTGGTGGGGCGGGGTGGGGCAATGTGGACTGAGTGCTCCTCCTCCTCCTTCCTCCCAAAAAGAAACAAAACAAAAAAACTTCATTTTGCCAACTTTGTTTGTTTTTTTTTAAATAGGATTTATTGTGAAATGCTAACCATTCCTCAAGTGTTATTTTGCCAATTAAAGCTGCAGACTGAGGAAGAGTCCAGATCTTCATCTACGTTTACAGCCGTGAGCAGTTTACTGACTGCAGGATTTCTGTGTATCGTCACGTGGTCACAATTTATAGGACGTGTTCATGTTTGCTATTCTTAGCGACAGTTACTGAGATGTTTTCATGTTCTGGTCAACAAAACATTTAAAATGCTTTTTAAATGTGACGTCTTTATATTAGGAGCTGAAAGCGGTCAATCGAACGGTTTGATTGGAAATTTATTGGATAAAGTTGGATTGCCATGTTGGATCTTCTGACATTTTTAAATATCTCGTCTCCTTTAAGAGGAAAGATGTTCACAAAGGAAATTTCTTTAAAATTTATATTATTATAAAATGACATCGTTCTTCTGCTGGTTGTTCTTTCCCATAAAGTTTTTATGTGCTAAATTACAGCAAAAGTCCTAAAAACACAAATGAATTACATTTAAAGTCGTATAAAACAAATTTTTGGAACTAGAAAAAAGATGTCTTTAGCAGCAAAAGTTTCAATCTTAATCAATTTACTGTTTCAGCTCCACATTTTTCACTTTTTCTACTTTTTATTTTATTTTCTCAGACTGCTCTGTGCTGTGTTCAAGGACAGTTTGACATTTAAAAACTGAAGGTTCACTCTGTTTGAAAGCGCAAAGTTACCGATTTCAAGAGTCGATGGCAAACAAAATGTTTCTGTTAAATTCCTCACATTTCCTCCTGCAACTTTAAACTTTCAAGGAAAAAGGGGGGGAAAAAGAAAATCCCCAGGAGCATTCAAGGCCATCGGCGTAATGAGGAGGAAGAGGAGGAGGCAGAGTCGAGTGCTGTCCGTGTGCAGAGCAGGATGAAGGGTGTGTGTATGTCACAGGAGGGCGAAGTGAAAATGTTCAGGTTGAGTGTTTCAGGAGCGTTGGAAAAATGAGATGTACAGAAACGTAATCAAATAATTTTGGAGAAATAAAAACAGAAATGCTGCTTTGTTGTCATTTCCTTTCTTATTAAATTGTTTCGTGAATATTTAAGATTTGTTTTAATCAGACTGAACTGTTCACCACCAGGGGGCGATGTTTTTATTAATGTTTTCAGATTTTCTACTGACGTCTCACTTTTTGAGTTCTTTGGAAAATTCTGTTCTGGATACGGATTATTACGATTTAAAAGTCTTTAAACACAAATTTTAAAAACTTCTTTTGAAGTACTTCAGGGTATGGAGAACCAAAAGTGTAAAAATGAGACAAAAGAAAGAAATAACACCATTATTTCCACTCAAAGTTAACATAAAAGTAAATTGCTGCAATGAATCTGTTAAATATGAAATGTTTATTTTCTTTCTCTGCAAAAATTATTTTTTTATTGGGCACTTTTGGTTCTCTGTATTACACCTAACTTTACCACAAAGGCTGGGTCCAGACAGTTTTGCTCTGCATGCTCTCGGATGTTTGAAGCTTTCATGTGTTGTAGGAACGTGTCGGTATTGTCGAAGTCAAACATAGGCTGTCTCCCAATTCAGGGTCTGCAGCCTTAAAGTACGCAGCCTCAACGATCCTCATGGGCCGCGTACTCAAAGACCGCTAAGGCCGGAAGTGCGAGGCTTGTGAAATGGGACGGTCTAGCCTCCGTTGCGCTGCCCAGGTTGCCTAGCAACCATGATACTAACAGCTGGAAACGTGTCATACAGCTGTTTGACAGAAATGAAGGAGAAAATCTTTTGTTCATTTGTTTGTTTCTACATGAGCTTTGATCATTCTCTGTAAGATTAAGCTCAGCTATTGAACGGCGTATATTTTAAAGTAAAGGCTTTAAAACCAAGTTAGTACAAACGTCACTAATGTCACATAACTTTGCCCACATGTGGCCAACAGGAACGTTTTAATGTTCTTCGTTATTAAACATTTGCACATAAATAAGTGACGTAATATTCACTACTTAAAGTTTACTCTTCGGCCGCCCCTCATCCACGTTTTTTTCCAGCGAAATTATCCACACCCACCGACGCGCTATGCATTCTGGGATATGTTGGGCCACAAAGTCTACACCGCCACATCCTTAGAATTCAGGGGAATTTTTTTTTTTTCCCCCCCAGGGAAATGAAGGACTCATTTCAGGGCCGCATTTCGAGCAGCCTTTAAATTGGGACAGCCTTCGGCGCGCCGCTGTGACGTAATCGGCCTTGAAATTTATTTTTTTTCCTTTTTTTTGGTTTTGTTTTTGTTTTTCATACTTTAATTAAATTTATGCACATATTACAATCTCTCGTTGGGAGACAACATTAGTGCAACAACATCTTGAAAAGGTTGAATAAGAAACCAAACGAAAAAAAAACAAAGACAAAACACATATATACATATACATAAATATATGAAGGCCATTTTTATGACATATAACAGTTTCCTTTCTGCGAACACTTTAACATACATGTGGCTTACTTAGTACACCAAAAACACAATCCTTAAAAGGATAGAGATTGAGTCCCATTGTCGCATATCAAAGCAGCCTCTTTACATGAATCCCTCAGTAATTCTAAAGATGACAAAAAAGATTTTAATTCAATTTTCAATACAGTTAGGGAAGGTCTTTTACTTTGCCATTTGCATTTGTGTATGTGGTATTTGCCCATAATTATCACCACCTTGTGTAGCATGGACAGTTCCTTAGATGGATCGCCATTATTATATAAAACTTGTGTTAGAGTCAGTGGGGTCATCCCATCTATTCTTATACTCAACCAGTCTACTAGATCTTGCCAAAAGTCAGTTGTTACTGAGCAGGAAAAAAACAAATGATCAATACTTTCCACATTTTGTGAACAAAATCCACATGGCTCTACCTCAAACCCAAACCTTTTTTAAGCATTTCAGCTGCTGGGTAATATCCATTAATTATTTTAAATTGCATTTCTTTGACTTTGGGGGGGATAGGCCATTTTAAAAAGTGCGTATATTTGTTCGTTATTTTAATATTACTCCCTTTTAGTTTTGTGTTACTGTTAAAGTCGTGAAATAATTTGTTTTTAAATATCTTGTTCATGGTTTTATTATTACAGTTTTTATCCGTCAAAGGAATCTGGTTTAGATGTAAAGAAGGTAGACTAATTTGTGCCTTAGAGTAATACAAATAACCTTGAATCAAACTCAACAGAGGTAAAGGGATTGCCTTACAAACCTTGTCATATTCTCTAAGGGAACTCTGAATGTTAAACTTAGCATTAAAAACACCCACTGAGAGAAACTGACCCATTTCATCAAGTAAGTCTGTTATAAAGATTATGTTTTTTTCATACCACTCTTTAATAAACAATGACTTCTTATTAATTGTAATTGTTCTGTTATTCCACAAGGTGGAGCAATGTGGTGAAAAGTTATGGGCAAACACCATCTTCCAATAAGACAAGACCTGCTTATGATATTCTGACAGTTTTACAGGCAACTTCAATATATCAAAATCACATTTCAGGAGAAAATCCAACCCTCCCACCTTTTTGAAAATATTTTTTGGGATATGGAATAATCGGCCTTGAAATGCGGCCTTTAAGGCTGCAGACCCTGAATTGGGAAACAGCCAATGCTCCATCAAACTGTAGCGCAGACTTTCTGGTTCCGATTCATTACGTATGGCATTACGGACTTTCCTCAGCATGAACATGTCTTCTGTGTGAGGGAGTTCCTCGCTGCGCTCCAGAAGGAAGTGCAAAGAAGAATGACGCTTGTCTTTTTAGAAAGTTTTGCAGTTTGTGTTAGAATTAAAATTAAATTAAATGCATTCAAGACTAAAACACAACCAAGAGTGAGTTTTGCTTACAGGGTTTATCTCCATGTAAATGGGTTTTAAATATGTGTTTTAGTCTATGTTATGGTTACTGTTGGTAAAAATACATATTTTTTTAATTTACGTTTCATTTCCTTTTTCAGAGTGAGATGAGGTAGAGCAAAAGGTGAAGATCCTTACCAATGCAAACTTAAAGACACACACAAAAGTTTCTTTTTCTTAATTATTTTTTTTCCATCAATGTAACGGCATAAGCTCCCTTTAGTTTTTCTATAAGTTTGTACTTTTATTTGACAAAACAACAACAAAACGCTGTCATAACATTCCACCTTTATTCTGAAAACAACCGGAATTTGTAACCTTGTTGTTTCCGGTGAAGAGCCCTTTGGGTGACAGGAAGTGACCTTTTCAAATAGTCGCCTGCAGTTTCCTTCAAAGACCCTGTTGCGGATAAAAACGCAGAACAGGCGCTCCGTTTGTCGCACAAACTGCCGCAGACATGGAGACGGAGAACATTTTCCTCTTCGTTCCTAATTTAATCGGTGAGTTTTTCCCGCCTTTAGCGACGCGGAGCTAGCTTAGCTTTAGCCGGCGAAATGTAAAATTCACCGAACTCCATTCAAAAAACATCCAATTTAGAGAATCCGGCTCATCTGCTTTATCTGGGCAAAGTGAGCTGAGTAACGTCACAGTGGAAGCCAAATTAATGGGAAAGGACGGCACGTTGTGTTATTGTATTGTAGTTGTTTGCGTAATAATAAATAAGCATTTTCCCCTGAAATATGTCCGATTTTATTGTGGATAAAAAGATTGATCAGGCCATTGAGCGATGGGTTTTTACAACTTCAATATGATGCTTTTAAATGCCTTCAATTATGAAAATAACATAAGATATTCATCGTATGTGGACTAGTTTGTACCCAGTGTAGTGAAGTATTTCATAAGCTTCTATCTTGTTATTTTTGTTGTAAAATAAATTTTATTGGAATAGGTAGCAAGTGTAGAGACATAACAAAGTGCATTGTTTTTGCGAAAAATGACAAATAATATGCAATAAGAAGGAATTTTCTCATCACAGATAATCAGTGTTGAAATCATTAAAACGCACTCTGTTTCTGAATAAATCTCTTCACCTTGGTTGGATCCTGCAGGTTATGCCCGGGTGGTGCTGGCCCTGATCTCCTTCTTCCTGATGCCCTGCTGCCCGTGGCCGGCCGTCTTCTGCTACCTGCTCAGCGCTCTGCTGGATGCCTTTGACGGCCATGCAGCGCGAGCGCTCAATCAGTGTATGTATTTACACGTGTGTGTGTGTTTGTGTGTGTGAGACAGACGTCCAGTTTTGACTCCTGAAGGCAGGATTTGACTGAATGTGGATTTTGTGTTGGATGGAGGACGTGTTTGTTTTCCTGATGTTTATACTGGGTGATAACCACACTCTGTATATAAAAGATGGAAGGAGTGTGGTTGGGTCATTTTAACGACTCTCACTGCTTCACAGTCATAGTGGGTCGGTGTGGTACGTTAAAAGCACGCAGTGGTGAGGTGGATCCCTCGCTGTCCAGTCAGGTGCAACATCTACCATATCTGCAGAAACACCCGCTGATGTAGGAGGACGCCCCTGAGTAGATTTCTGTATGCGTCTCAGGCCGTTTTTATGCTCGCTGTCTCGTGAGACAATCTTTGTGGGAGCTTTAGGCTGTGTTTATTTCTGCTGTGGAGTTTTAACATTGACTCAGTTGCTGCTGGAGCCTCTGCTGGACGTCAGAGGAACTGCAGCCATGACGGTTCCTGCAGCAGGTCGTGTTCTGGTCTCACGGGCCGCTCTCTGTCTGTTTCAGCCACTAAGTTCGGCGCCATGTTGGACATGCTGACTGACCGCTGCGCCACCATGTGTCTGCTGGTCAACCTATCCCTGCTCTACCCCTCCTACGCCTTCCTGTTCCAGCTCAGCATGTGTCTGGACATCGCCAGCCACTGGCTGCACCTGCACAGGTGGGCGATGTTTCTGTGGTTGTTAAGGTGAAGTCATATTTAGCTGTGTGGCCTGAACAGACTGAATCAGATCATGTTGCCCAGTGACCTGTTTTAGAGCCATGACAGGTGTAAGGACGAGGTGTTGTGCTGCGGCTGATCGTGTTTTCTTATCTGTCTTCCTCAGCTCGACTGTAAAGGGATCAGCGAGCCATAAAACCATCGACCTCTCTGGGAACGCCATCCTACGCCTCTACTACACCTCCAAGGTCTGTGTGTCGTATGATAAACGTGTCCGTATGAATTTTAAAGGAACAGTCAGTGAACGTGTGTGTGTGTGTGTGTGTGTGTGTGTGTG